ATCCTCAATCAAATCCTAAATCTTATCTTAAATAAAGTCTTAACAAAATCCTACAATAGATTAAAAATTCAATAACTAATGATTGAACTATTGATTTTGAATGAAACTTTGCATACTCTGAAAAAATCAAGTTAGCAATAAGTAAATTTTTTTTGAAAAAGATCACATATACCAAATAGATGATAGTTCTAAAATTCCGCTTGAGGATTGATTTGTTGCCTTTTCTAACCTTGATATTGATATTCTTAAGCCACGATTTCTTAATTTTATCATTTAATTCATTCCAATTTTTTTATAATTGTTAAAAATCAATCTAGCTACTTTTGAAACAAAAATTATTTCAATCCAACAAGCAAATTGACAAATATCTTAGAAATCCTCACTAATCCTTTAAAACCCAATTTCCAAGACCATAACCCACAAAAATCCTCATATGCTTGAATCTAATTCTTTGATTGATCTCAAATTTCTCACACACATTTAAAAAAATAACAACAATAAACTTTCTAATTTTTAACTACAAATATGCTATAAAACTCACAAAATCTTGAAATTTGTGAACTATTTTTTATTTTTCAAAATCCAATTCTACTAAGTACATCATTCTTTTTGAATACCCCTCAAAATCTTAATATTAATCCAAATGATATGAAACAAACTTTTAAAAATATTTTTTTAAGTTTTCTCTCAAAATTTGTTCTTTGATTTATAAAAGAACTTCAAAGTTGCTGTAGGTACAGGGTTTTGTGTCTCATGGTCTAATTTTGATCTAGGTTGACAATTGGTCCTTTTTAAGTATCAATTTTTAATTATTTAAAATAAATTTTGATTTAATATATTATTAATTATTTTTAAATATATCTAAATTAATTTTTTTATCTCATTTTCTTTGATTTGGTTCATTTATGCCTCTATAAAGTAAATAGAATTTCTTTCTATAAAAAATAATATTAAGATTAAATTTTTTACTACCTTTCTATAATTTTTTATTATTTTTTTATTACATCTTTTTATTAGATTTTTCTATAATAATATCCGTATTTTTATTTTTTATTATATAATTATGTTATCACATGATAGTGGATATAATATCAATAAATGCACATAGAAGCAAACTAAAATTCTTACAAATGCAACAAAGAAGGTTGATGCTTTTCATCAACAACATCCATCAAAATCAAGATGAAGAATAGCAAATCTTTGCTATAAAAAAAATACAATTTATGAAAGATTGCATTTTATCTTCTATCTTTATTTATAAGTTATGAGTATTTGTAGTACTAAAGAGACAGAGAATCAACAACCAATAGATTCAACTCAAAAACTATTGTTTGTTGACTTATCAAACAAGATATTATGATTTTTAAAACCTTCAAATCAACAAAATTGAGATGAAGACTTTCAAAAATAATTTCTTTTTCAATTAGATAGAGAAATCCAATATGTTTGATATCTTAACCTTGGATAAAATTCTCAATATTTGGTGATTTTATTGGAAGTAGGAACAACTCTTGGTAGTCTTTTATATGTTTTATTTGAAAGAAGTTATGAAGGCCTCAACAATGACCAAATAACATGGTATTCTTTAGACCTTAGAATGAAACATTATCAATGGCTGAAAAGACTTATAATTTTTTTTTAAAAGAAACAAAGTTTAAAGTATGTAGCAAATAAAGTTTATTATATCTTAGACTTCTACAATATATGATGAGTGTTCTTTGTGGAACTTGTACTTAGTAGGGAGAGTAACGTCAAGGATATATATATATATGAGATAAGAAGTATTAGATAGAAGATAAATATAGGTAGATTTCATATCATTTTATGGCAAAGCTTTTTAGAAGCTTCATACATGCATATTTGACTTCATACATGTTTATAATTGATTGGTAGGTTAGAAATCTAGCCAACAAGTTAGCGATGTGTTGCACATGTGGATAGCTTGTAATATAAGCTAATAATGTGGCATATATATAAGAAACTTGTGTAGCAAGTTAAGACACATATCTTGTAAATTAGACACATATTGGAAGTCCTATAGGTCGTCGCTATGTAATTCTTAGTTGATAATATATATTGAGGCAAGAGTGAAGCCTTTTTTATTTTTATCAATTCATTTTAAGTCCTCAGTCTTATTTCAAGACTTTCCAATGTGCTTGTCTTTTGCAATAGCCATTCTAGTTTAATACTATACCATCTTTGAATGATTTTTTAGTCTTTTTGAGTGAGACAAGAATTTATTGATCTATTAGTTCTTTGAAATTCATGTCTTTGACAATTATAAAATAAACTCATCAAATCAAATAATTGTACATTTTATCTTATCTAAGGTTATAAAAAAAAAACTAAATATTTAAATTTCTTTTAAAAAAATAAAATCTATAGCAAACATCTTTATGTTCCTAAATTAACTTTATTTTTATAAAAAAATATTATAATTATATTATAGAATAATATTTAATGCATCAAAATGTATTATCATTATAGAAGATAAGTTAGCTATTATAATAGCTACAAGACTTAGATATCTTAATCTTATAGGACTATATTAAATCAAGACTACTCCAAACTTCTTTACTAACTTTATTACAACCAATCTATTAAAAAAATAAAATTTTGGCATAAAATATTACAACACTTAAATTTCTTTAGTATAAATAAATTTTCTAATAACAACCTAGCCTATAGAATTCTTTCTCTACCTCTTATAACTCACTCTTGAAATTCTTGCAAACTAAGCAAATTTTATAGAATTAATATTTTCAAGCAGACTAACATTAGTTCTATATAAATTCTAGAGCTTATATATAGTCATCTTTGTAGTCCTATCAAGCCTATTTTTTTTGAGTTAATCTAACTATATTCTAATATTTATAAATGATGTCTCCAAATTCACTTTAGTCTACTTTCTACAATTAAAACCAAAGACATTTATGAAATTCAAGTACTTCAAAGCAAAAGTTGAAACATCAACAATTAAAATACAAGCTTTGAAGTCAAATACAATACAAAGTTTTTATCTTTGGATTTCATTGAATATTACAAGGAGTAAGGCATCAAGCATTAACTTACAAGAATAGATATTCTATCTTAGAATAGAATGGTAGCAAGAAAGAATCTAATTATTTTTTATTGAGCAAGGAGCATGATAATCAACACCAAAATACCATTAAATCTTTGATTAGAAGTACTCAATACAATAAACCTTCTTGTCAATCTTTTTCCTATTAAAGCAAATTCAAAGACAACTTTATATGAAATCTATCACAATAAATCTCAAAACCTATCTTTTTTTCTAATATTTAGATGTGAATGTTTTATTCACCAAGATAGAAAATTTAAGAGAGTTGAAAATGTTGCCAAAAGAATTTTGATGTATTTTCCTAAAATATGATACTTAATCCAAAGTCTACAAATATTAAAACCTAAACTGTAAAAAAATACACATCATTAGAATTATTATATTTAATATATATATATATATATATATATATATATTCTCTAATAGAAATACTTATTTAGAAATAATCATTTTTTAAGACATAAAACTACTATTGTTTAACAATCTAGTTCCTATTGACTTCACATCTAGTCATAGTAAACCTAAAAAATATATCTTTACATAATAAAGATCTTTTACAAATCCCAATAAACACACCTCATTTAGAATTAGCTTCAAAGAATTCTCTAACTTCAATTGGACAAACTAGCCCTATTGAATAAACTAATTTCATTATATGTCTATTAGAACTTCCAAAATCTACAAATCAATTAGTCACTTATTCTAGCTGTATTATCAATAAATCATCTAGATGAATAGAATCATGTAATATTGCTGCGACAAATATAGAATCAATAAAATATTGAAGACAATTAAAGAGCCATAATAAAAACTAGCTATAAATAAAAAGATAGATTCAATTCTTAAAAATGATACATAGAATATAGTAACTCTATTATCCACATATATCTTATCTTTGCAAAATAGAAATAAAAAACCAAGAAAAATAACAATACAAAAGAATCCATCTATAAAGCTTGATTAGTAGTTAAAGAATTTGAACAAAAAAAAAGAATAGATTATGAAGATATATTTGCACTTGTAGTGAAATAGAGTATAGTATGGACCTTATTAGTCCTCTTTGCACAATTGAAATAGAAGCTTTATCTCTTAGACATAAAGACATCATTTTTTAACCGTGATCTATTTTTTACAAAAAAATATACTTCAAATAAAAGGTTATATTGTTACAAGACATGAGACAAAGCTTTGGATGCTAAAGAAAGTACTTTATGGCCTTAAGCAAGCTTCTAGAGCCTTGTACTAAACAATTAATTCATACCTTTAGGAACAAAGCTTGCATAGGTCAAATGCTAACTATAATCTCTATTTTCTAAAGGAAGATGAAAAACTAGTTATTCTTATTCTATATGTGGATGATTTATGTATTATAAGGATAAATTTAGAAAAAATTATCTATTTCAAAAATCAACTCAAAAATATAAGGCTTCATAGACTTAGATTAGGTTAGGGACACAAAAAATCAAAGATCAACAACAAGTTATTTCTTTTAATTTGAAATAAGTTCCATTGCATGGATTAGCAAGTCTCAATCCATGGTTGCCTTGAACTCCTTTGAAGCTAAGTACAAAAGGCTTATTGAAAGGACAAAAGAAGATATATCACTAAAGAAACTCACAAGCAAGCTTAACATCAACAATTTAGTCAATTCAATGATTTATAGAGTTGTATTTCAAAACAACAAATAGAGTCAAATCTTGTGGATATCATAATCAAGGCACTAGACAGATATAAATTTGAATAACTTTGCTTTGAAATGAGAGCCATGTCATACTGACAACTTCAAAACAAGGATTGCAATTTACTACATCTCTCTTTGAGTACAAAATGAAAATGGAATCAATTCCTTCAAGGATGACTCAACCCTCTTTGACGCCCTAAGCAAAATATTCTTCATCAAAGGTATTCTATCCATATCTTCACAAAGCTCAGTTTTATCTATATTAGGAGATTTTTTCCTTTTTAGACAAAACAGCTCTCTATTGTAATTAGGAGTATCAATGCACACTATATTTAAAGCTTGTCAAGCTACAGTAGTTTCAATTAAACTCTTCCATAACTTACTAATTCTACAAATATGCCAAACCATAGGAGTTACAAGAAGGCGAGTAATGATCTCCCTTTTCACTATGCTGTTTGGTAATCCGGGCAAAATTCTTGATCTTTGAATCTTCTGTCTGGGTTCCTGCTGGGTCACAACAGCAGCCACATGTGAAAAAGGTAGCTTGGCACTTGACAAGTGGGCATCGCCGCATAAATCAATCACTACCTTCTGCAAAGGCAATTGCTGCTTCTTCGAACCTGGTAAGGTCCAAGATAAAGAACTTGAGCCTGCTCGCTTTAACTCCAAACTAAATGCTTTGGGAAACTTGCTCAACTCAAACTCCACCAGCAATAATTCATCTGACAGATGTTTTGCTCACAACATCTTCACCAAAAGAATATGTACTTGACAATACATCTGGTCCTGCTGCCTTGGCTACAACTCTCTCACCAAGAGAACACGAAGAAAAAACTTCAGCAGCATTTAGCCACTCCTTGAGAAACACAGAACAAGTAGCGAACAGTCTGCTCAAGAAGATTGACACAATCCAGATTTTACAATTATTGTAATCAACCATATCTTCTGTCTACTTTGAAGATCACATTCAAGCACAATCACTCCAAAGGGCAGCAGTTGCTTCATTGACTGCTACAAAACTGAGGGGGGCTGTTGGAATATTAGGCTCAAGCATTTGTTACCCTGCTTACATCAGCAAGTCCAGCTCAGCCTAAAATCACCTAATAGGTTTACCAAAACTTATCATTGCTACTTATATTGCTAGTAAATAGGAAAAAGTATTGGTAGCAAAGACTTGTAGATATATCTCGCTCTTGTTGTTAAGATCACAGGAAAATATATATATAATGCTTCTTATTCCAGTAAATTATTATCTGTTTGATCCCTAATGGTTTAACCAACACTGATGGCACACCTGAATGCCGAACTCCGACTGTGCACGTGTGCCTGACGAGCGCCGCCTTCAGAATACCAGATCATACCTGAAGCAATCATACCTGTTACCAAAGTATCAGAGTTCTGAAGATACAAGGCCGCGATTACCTAGCCATAAAATGGTGAAGTAGTTGAAACGGCTGGGATGGGAACCCGGGCCTAGAATTTGTCCCTGACTGAACCCGCGGGAAGTTGCCGTTCGCTCTGCCATCAGCGTTGAACCAAGCAGGAGGGTTGATATCCAGCTGCAATGGCAGTGTTGGTACAGAGTTAGAAGCGTGGGCTTGATTCTGAGAAACTGGCTGCTGCACCAATCTAGAATTATGGGAATTCCTGGTATCCGTAGTCGACATTCTGGGACAGGATGAAGCTGCTGCAGCAGTCCCAACTCTTTTTCCTGAACGATACGAAATCAAGGGTGTTTCAACAAAAGAGGATTGTGTAGGACCGGCCGTGCTAATGGTGTTGCCCACAGGTGTCAAAATTCCCTGAATAATTCCGACGGTTTCAGAGTTGGATTCTGGTTCGTCTGAAGAGAAGCTCGTAGGATGGCTTATTGTGGAGGCAAGAGAGCTGGCAACTGATCGGTTTGGCACCAAGAGAGATTCGTTCAAAGTTGTGGCAAGTTTAGGTGTTGTATCAGTACCAACATCTGAAAGAGGAAAGCACCTTCTGCTTGATATTTGAGGAAGCGTTGGTGTAAGCATCGCTTTCACATGTTTCTCTTCGGAATATCCAGCATTCTGAGCTCCCTGATATGTTTGGTCCCGGTGTCGACCTTCCGTGGCAGGTATCTTCGTTGAATCCCCTTCTCCCGTGTTCAGGTTGTTGGCAAGAGAAGGTGATAGACCAATCGTAAGGGCATCATGTGCAACAGCAAGGACTTCTGATTATCCACCATAAATATTCTAAAAAGTTTCTCTGTTGTGGATTTTGATTCTGAAAATAAATATTTGACCTCAGCCTGTGATTAATGTTAGTAGCCTTATACTGTTGAGACTGTAAAAGACGTCACCAAATCAAGCGGTGGCTTCTTTTTCGGTGGAAGTTCAGTTAGGACATATTCGACCAATCTGTTAGACCTAGCCATTATGTGTTGATAAAAGCTTGATGTGATGTGTTCAAATAAATTTCACTTATATATAGATTAAATGATAGAGCCGATTTGAAAATATCATACGCCCCTATCTGCATGTAAGGATGAACTATTCGTCCATGTTAACATGGTTTAAAGAGATAATTTAAGTGCATCCAGATGAAAGCACACCAGGAACTTAAAAGTCATAACCAGCAAACTAGTGGAGCTTGCTTTATTCCTTACTATGATACAGAAATGGTTCATCTTGTCAGGTACATCATTTTGCAAATGCACCAGAAACATTAGAATTTTGTTATCAAGCATTAAGTGCTTCGATCTTTGGTCTGACATAGAAACCCTTAAAAAGAAAAAGAACCTAGCAATAACATCGAGAGAGCACTGCTGATAATAAGCAGACGTACTTGAGAGGAGTCATTTCTGTAAGAAAATCGGATCAAACGAAGTATGGCTGCTGGTACAAAAGAGAGAAATGCTTTGAAGATGGTACTTCGAAAAATAAATCTTGGACTGGTCTATCACTTTTTGTTTGGATCCTTCAATTGCTTCTCAATCTGAAAGATTGAAATACTGATTTAGATGGGGTTCCAAAATGCAAGACATACACTGTTATTTCACACAAATTTAGGTCAATAGAAATTAAATAAGCAAATCTGAAGTATGTCCAAAATGTTATTCAGTGAGTTTGAAATGAAGCTAAAATTTATCGATTTTTCTATTTCGATCATTACATTTGATGATTTTATAGAATAATTGTGTTATTCACCTTCGAGATTTCTTCAAATTTCTACTTCACACATGTAATTTACCTCCAGTCAATTTCACCTACCATGTAGTTGAAATACCCAAAACCATGACAATATAAGCTTCAATTTTAGTCTTAGGCGATGATAAAACATAAAATAATTAGAAAATTCGGCATCTAATCCATGTCTTAATCATTTCAAGTCGGAGTACTAGCAAAGGACTGACTGGTAGGTAAAGAATTTGTAAGACAAACGACAAACATAGTTCGCAGCTCCCTGTTCTGAAAAGATCATGTAAGATAATACACGAACTTCAAATTGCAGTAAACTAACCTCTTGTCCAAACTGTTCCGAGTAACTCTTTAGCTGTTTCGTCAGCTCCTCCTTTGTTTGAACTCCTGAACAGAGCACACGAGAGGGGGTTGAAGCCAAATAAATATTTAGGTTTCGAATCAACGAAGATCTACGTAAGCGTATTTTGTTCACAACAGTAAAGTGGAGAGAAGCACAATGTCGGGAATAAAAATAAAATGGAACTTTTTTTAGAATCACCTTTTTGAGCCATTTCCTCGATAGCTTTAGAAGATCTTACTGCAAACCTCTGAAACGATTGACTACAATCATCAAATAGCAAACAAATGTGTCAGCATTTTTCAGGTTTTTTCAGGCACTGAAAATATTAAGAGTCTAACCCAATAATCACTTCTGATTAAGTCAAATCAGAATTAATGACAAGAGAACCACCAAAATTCGAACCGACAATTAGAACAGGCAGTAAGGGACAATTAAATAGAGTAAACCCACTTATTGGCAAGTCGATCCACGAGAAGCTCGTTAACGACATATTGCATCACTCTAGCAATGAAGTTCCCGCCTCGACCAGCCATGTCGTTCGGCGATGGAGAACGTCAACGCGGTAAAATGTGACACAACCAACCTTCCGCCTTCTTCACTGATTTCTTGCAACGAGAAGCCCTTAACCATGTGAGTATCGCACCAGTTGTTCATAAAGTAGGTTTGAAGTAGCAAGGTAAAAAACCCTAAAGTAGAAGCAAATTTGCACGCCAAAATACTAATACAAGGAAATTGGAAATGTGACAGGAAAAGGGAGAAAATGCAAATTATAAAGATGGAGGTAGTCACAATAACCCGAGGACTATAGAGGGGACGGGGGACAACTGCCGATTTAAAACGCTGAGTTCGCTTGTTTTTTTTTGAAAAATAATCTGAGGGATTGGAAACCCGAAGAACAAAATAAATAAAGAAAGAGAGAAAGTTAGAAAAGAAAAAAACAAAACAAAAACGCGTGCAAGAGAGGAGAGGGGAGAGGGAAGCGGCAGGGGTAGAGAAGGAGGAGGAGGAGGGGGATGAGTGGATGTATACCCTTGCGTTGCAAACGAAGGGGCGGAGAGAGAGACCAAGAGCGAGCGAGGGCAGCGCAACCAGCAAGGAAGGAATTCTGTCTGAATGCAAATAAATGGTGACGCCACCCGAGCACCGCCGCCGACCCAGCAAACCCCCCCCCCCCCTTTCTGAAACCTCGTTGTCCCAGCTCACCCACACTTCCTCACCTCGATGGATGATTTGTTTCTTTGTTCTTGCTTTTCAACAATGGTCCAATTATAAGTACAGATATATTTGAATGATTAAAATAAAATAAAAAACCCTTCAATATTATTCATTAATCAAACCCAGATAATGGTTTTATTTTATTATTAACATTTTAACAATGTGTTTTCTAAATATTCATAGCAATGTTTTTATACGATTCTTCTTGCATAAAACACAAAACGAGGCTTTTGACTTCTCCTTTTTTACAAAAATACATATGACTAAGCTAATAAATAAAATTTTAAATATTAAATATTTTCTAAAATAGATTTTATAAATTACTATTTTAAAACAATTTTTGAAAATCCATCTAAGATTACAATCAATCTTTTGAATCTCTTTTAGATACTTTATTTTTACTAAGTATTATTTTAAAATTTTCTTAATTTTTTTAATTATATATATAAGCATTAGAATTTATTACTTTTTATAGTAATAATATATTAAAAAAAATCACAAAGACATAAATTTACAAGGACTTGATGGCCTTATAAGTAGGATTGTTTGTCATTATATTCAATTCTTTATGAGCACTTCTTTATTTGTTACTATGGATTTTTTTAATATATTTTTATTTTTTATTTTTTATTAGTTTCTTCAAGTCTATCTTACATATCTAAAACATGCCTTTATTATTTTTAAATTTCACATTTTTTTAAAAGTTAATGAGATTGCTCTAATCTCTTAAATAGAAAGATAAATAACTTATCAAATTCATACTTTTGAATACAATATGTTATATTATTAAAGTTTCAATTGATATTTTTTATGCTTTATATTACAATATTTGCATTTCTACTTTTTTAGAATATGCATGTTGTACAAATTTGTACAAATAAGAGACAACTTTGTTCCATGCATTTTTAATTGATTTCTATGTTGTATAAGATCCAATGCTTAAATCCAATGGTTATTTTTTAAAAATATAGAATATTCATTTGATCATGCTAAAGACCTCAAAGCATTTAGACAATACATCTATATTTTTTTTTAATTTAGTAGAAATACAAATATTTTTTTCTATTTATAATACTAAAATTTGATATCATTGATATAATATCTACATTGAAAAATACATTATATAAATACACTTAATTTTTTTATGATTTTTTTTAATAGCAACCACAACCATAGATATGCCAATACATGAATGTTGGTGTCTTGTTAATTATAATAGTAATTTTATTTTTTATAATCTTAGTTAAGTATGTTGAAATTTAGAACATCTAATAATTACTAAAATATAATTATTTTATAGGACCTACTTACAAGCTTTTAATGAAAGACTATAGAATCATACCAAAGGATTACAAAAAAGAATATCTAAGAACATATTTATTCGCTTAAACAATGGAATTTTATTCTAATATTAAATATAAATTAATTTAAATTTTCTTTGTATTTCAAATATATTATTACTTATCAAAATTCATGGCTCTATGAAATTTAGCCTTTGTATGAGAAATTTAATAGCAATTTGAAAAAACTCTGTAAAACTTGACAACTTTGTCTACAATGGTTAAACTATAAATAAAAAGCAAAAGTAGAATGTGATGAAGTAAAAGCAAAAAAATAACATACATGAGCAAGAATGAAGGTATTATAAGTCATAGTAGATTAGGGTCTAGATGTTGTTGTAGAGGTAAGAAGTAGGCTTAACACAAAACTTGAGTTAGCTAATAAGATCATAAATGAGCCTAATTTGTAGGATTAATAAAAAAAAATTCTCTTTAGTATTTTAATATAAAAGATGCTTGATATAACAATTTCAACATGTATTGGAGTAAATGTTTATACAATATTTCTATTAAGCCTATATTATATTTGGATAAATCATATTTGATTGTCATCTCATATCATTATTAAGAATAGCTATGTTTGGAAATTCAAGACCACCTTAAATAGAACTAGTTTTATTATCTACTAACAACTTGTCCTTTTATTAGTTATATCAGATTGGCTGGAGCAACAATCATGTTTATTTGATTATTTGGAGGAGACACTAAGTATAACATGAGAATTTTTAGATATAAGAACTCAGAGCTCATTTGCAAAGGTAAAAATTTTGTTATCATTTTTTTATAAGAATAAGTTATTTTAATAATTAATAATAAAATTTTAAAAAAATCCTAAGTTAGGAAGTTTGGAAGTCCTTCAAAAGATCATAAGATTCAAAAGAGAAATTATCATATGAGATTCAACAAGTGAATATAAAGGACCTTAAATAAAGAAGTTATTTCAAACTATTACAAAGTTCTATAAAATATGAATTATGAAATATAGTAGCAACAACAAAAATTCATAATAATAATTTCAAGGAAAAAAGTCATCAAATTTTGGATCTAAATACAAACCTAGCAAATATTGGAATTGAAGTTCTACACTCTCTCTAAACCAAGCAAGTTTGATTCAAGATTCATTCCTTGAATACTCTAATTACAATGTGAATTATGAATTTTAAGCTTCTTTGCCATGACTCCTTCCTTAGATCATCTTATGACTATAAGTCACCTTTGACATTAATAGGCTTATTGAAACTTCAAATTTCACAAATTGAATAGTATGAATCAATCCTTCACTTAAAATATAATCAACTACTTTCTTAATCATACTTTATACTAAAATTATCACCAAATTTGTAAAGCACCATCATCACAAAATATATAGTCATGTAAAATTCCAATAGCAAATATACATATTTACTATAATATTTAGCTGTATGATTAAATAAAAGTAGGATAAAAATATATTTATTTCTTCATATTTTCTAACAAGCTTCTTATATGCTTCAAAGATATTACTTCAAAATTAATTGTATTTGTAGTTGATCGACAAGTTAGTAACTTGGTCAACAAGTTAATCACATGCTACTAGCTTGCAAAATAAGCTAATTATGTCACATACATATAAAAAACTTACTTTGCAAGTTAAAATATGTATCTTGCAAAATCAACATGTTTTAGATGTCCTATAGAACAATGCCATGTAGTTCCTAGATAAGAGTATATATAGAGGCAAGAGTGAAAGCCTTCTTCACTCTTTTCAATGCCTTTCTAGTCTTTAGTCTTATTTCAAGACTTTCTAATCTTATTTAAAGACTTTCTAGTCTTCTTGTTTTTGTCAATAGCCATTCTAGGTTAATACTATATCATCTTTAATTGATTTTTTAGTTCTTTTTAGTGACACAAGAATATACTAAGGATTTCTTTCTTTGAGATTCATATCCTTGATAGTTTGACAAGAGTGATAACTTATTGTTTTTGTCTTGTTTTAGAAGTGAATGGATTATCCTACTTCTATTGTTGTATTTTAAAGGTTCTGGACTATCCACCTTTAAACAAGCAATCTTATTTTCTAACATTAATCTTTTTCTAAAAGAAAGTGGATTATCCTTCTTTGTAGAAATTTTCATTTGATATTAGAGGTTGTAAATTATCTTCATATAATTTAACTTTTGAATTTATTTGAGTTGTTTATAGAAGGAAAGATTATGGATGCTACTTTCAATGGAAGTGAAAATAGATTTGCAACTATTACAAATCTTCATGAGCTTATCAACATTCTAAGAGTAAAAATTTTATGTATTTCCAATGTGAATTATGGAGGTACTATTCCTATGCATATGGAAGAAATTCAGAGTTTGTAGCAAGAAATTGTACAATTAAAGGAAGCAAGTAGATTGACCTCACAACCAAATTCAAAGAATTTTACTTCTACAAGTATGATGAGCATAAATATTAGTATGTTTGAGAAGTTTAATGAAACAAGATCAAAATTTTGAGGATTACTGCAACAAGTCAAGCTCTATCTAAGGTTGCATCTCTTCCAATACTCTAATGGATTTACTCAAGTTAGATTCAAAGTTACACTTTTATCAAGAAGTATGCTTTCTTGGTTTGCACTTTTAATGGAAAAAGATTTACAACTCTTTTATGATTTGAATTCATTTTTAAAAGTGTTTACAGCCACATTCAAAGAAAGTGATTGAAAAAGAGTAGTAGAGACCAAGCTCTTATTTTTATGACAAGGATCATGGTCAGCCACCATATATGTTGTTGATTTCTAAAACCTTGCTTGCAATATGGATTAGAATGACAAAGCCCTTATCAATTAATTTTGATATGAGTTAAAGAATAATGTCAAATTTTTTAGAATAATTTATTGCTCAAGATATTCTATACAAAAATTGATTATTTGAAAGACATCAAGAATAAAGACTTGGCTAGAGAGAAATAAGTCAAATAATGATGGCAGCTCCCAAGTTTTTAGAAACTTATTCATCAAAGTCTAAATTAATGCAAATTGATATAATACGTTTTAAATCCCTCACGGAGCAAGAAAAGACTCAACAACATCAAAAAGGCTTATGATTACATTTTGGAGAAGTTAAATACACTATTCAAAGATGTGTTAAAAAATAAGTTTCTCTAACTACAATAGGAATAATGCGGCTGAAATCTTACATAATTCCTAATAAAGGTCCTATTCTCTCTTGAAATCCCTAATCTTATTTTATAATAGAAGTTTATTTAGAATCAAAAAATCACAAAGTCTTAGCTTTGTTAAATTTAGGAGCCTCAACTTATTTTATAGACATAGATTTTGTCAAAAAATAAGAGATATTACTAGTCAAGAAAACTAAACTCGTATATATAGAAGTCATAGATGGTCGTTTGCTATCTTTTGGAGATGTAATGCATGAGATTATTCTTTTAGATATAGCAATTTAAGATCAAAATAGCATAGTAATATTTAATATAATAAGATCTCTATGTAATTTGAATATTTTAGGATTATCTTGGTTAAAAAAATATAATCCTCAAATAGATTGGATTTTTATAATTT